ATGTAAGCAGGTTGGTGCATTTTGAACTTTGAATTAATTATAGTATGTACCAGATGCTCTGGTATGTATTTTAAAATTCTTCTCATTACTGCAGGTGCTCAAGGGTTTGATGTATCTCCATCATGAAAGACACATTATCCACCGAGACTTAAAGCCTTCTAACTTGTTAATAAATCATAGAGGAGAAGTCAAGATTACTGACTTTGGTGTGAGTGCAATAATGACAAGCACCTCAGGACTAGCAAACACTTTTGTTGGCACATACAACTATATGTCTGTAAGTATTTTACTATAACAAAATTATGTTCTTTTGGTGGCTAAGGTGTATTTTATTCTTATTTTTTCAAAACTTATTAGTTTTCAATGTCTGTCTACTTCTTTTGTAGCCAGAGAGAATTATTGGAGGCAATTATGGCAATAAAAGTGATATTTGGAGCTTGGGGCTAGTGTTGCTTGAGTGTGCAACTGGTAAATTCCCATATACCCCACCAGAGCAGGCAGAAGGATGGACTAACTTTTATGAGCTTATGGAACAAATTGTTGAACAACCACCACCTTGTGCACCTTCTGAGCAATTTTCCCCTGAGTTTTGCTCATTTATTTCTGCATGGTAAAGGTTTTTTTTTAGTGAGTTACTTGAAACACTTGCCTTGAAATATGTTCTAGAATATTTTGCGCTATAATCCATTATTGAGTCTTGTACTAAACTTAATAGTTTTCTTCAAATTGGTATTCTGCCCAAAGAGTTTATTTATTAGTTTCCTTTTGATACTGGAGAGGTAGCCTCTGCAATTGGTATTTTTTTTGCTTGGGTAGAATTGTTTGATTGAATGAGCTTACCAAGCCCAGCTTTGGGTTCTTTTATCCATTGCAGTGTGAAGAAGGACCCAAAGGAAAGAAAGTCAGCACATGAACTGCTGGTATGTAAATATCTGCATTCCTCTATGGCAGCTTTATTTACAAGTAGTAAAAAAATTGATTTAAATATCTGTTAAGGATGCTTCACCTGTGATTTTCAATGTGAATGCAGGCACAGCCTTTCTTGAACATGTATGATGACTTGGATGTGGACCTGACATCTTACTTCAACAATGCAGGATCACCACTTGCAACACTTTAGAACTTACCTGGTATGCCTATGCTTGGGTTTGTTATCTTAATTTTTTTACATGGGGTTGCTCTGTAATGCTTTAGGACTCAGCCTTTGGAATTTAAGTTCACATGCGTTGTTGTGGCATTGTTCACGGGATTTTGCTGTGTATCTGTTCAAAAAACTTGTTTTTCACTATGATGAACGAAATTTATCTTGTCTTTGCTTCATCTCTAAAGTAAAATGTAACTCTTAATCATTTTCTTCTCAAGGTTTCTGTTTATTTAGAATCTAAGAATTTCTTTTCTTGCTTTTGGAAGCCAAGATGTTGAAATGAAAATGTAAAAGAAAGAAAAGAAGAAGAAGAAAGACTCTGATATAAGCAAAGTTGTTATTGCCTTTGGGTACAAATAATGAAAATGGTGATGAATCCAAACAGTTATCATCTAAATGTATACCTGGGCTATTTAGAAAATGCATCATTCTTTCGTCCAGATCTGCCAATATTTTCATGCATAATCCAAGTCACATATTTCAATAAACTTGAGAGTAGTATTGGTTGTATGCACCCATAGAGATGGTGTTACTGTCTTGTCATGATGGTGAACTCGCTGTTTGTTAGAATTTTGCCTTTAAAAGATTGAATTCTGTGATTGTTAGTACATGTTTTGCTTTATGATGATGATGATCAATATGTTTGCTTCTCTGGCAATGTGTTTGGTAAACAACTGTGGTTGAAGTTCTTTATTTTCATTTTTCCCAAGAGGGTATTTTTTATTCTCGAAAACTAATTCATTTTGGTAGTTTTTTAATCTGTGTACTTAAAACGATAGGCACTATTCATGCTTGAGTTAATCAATATTTATTACCAGGGGTGCATTTAAAGTGAAACCAACATTGTCACCTTTTTGGCAGAGCTCAGACTGAACAAATAGCCCGTCAGACTCAAAAGAATGTCAACAGAACCAAAGTTGTAAAAGCATGGAAGATTGTAGTTGTCGTTGTGACTAATTGCAGGACTTATTTGAGCAGCTGTTTTAATGACGAGATCCAAAGTTAAGCATCAAAGATTATTTTCTTGCCAGAGGACTCGGAGTGGGAGGTACAGCATGTTGCTTTGTATTAATTTTTCATAATTGAAAGGTAATGTTGTCGTATATCAAGAACAATTTTATAAACTTCCTGAAATAGGAAATGTTCCGAATTAGATAATGGACAGTGCCAGTTTTTACTTGCCTATTTGAGTTCCGGGTGTATTAGTTGTGTTTAGATTATGGGACCTATCACGGTGCATGCACTTGAGTTTGTAATAAGCATGGTCCTTTCGCCATCTGACGGCTAATCCTCATTATTATGGTCAAGTAGTCATAATCTGGTTGAGTCTTCAAAGAGAAGTAATTAGACCATCTCCTCAACAATTATTATGGAAGAGTGTAGGTTCATTTGGTTAAATTATGTAATTAATTATGTAATTAGTTTTTATATTCTACAAAAAATATGGATTTAGTTTTTGAACAATAATTTTTATAAATTGAGTTATTATATTTTGTTAATTTGTTAATTTTAATTTTTAATTGCAATATTGTTAAATTTAACAGTTAAATAGGTTGATGTGATATTTAATTAAGTTGACCTGGCATTTTTGATTGATGTGGTGTTAACTATGTATTGATGTGGCATGATCATGCTGATGTGGCATTAACTAAACTAGTAACAAGAGAATATTAGCCAAGAGAAAGAAAACCTGCCAACTACGAGTTTCACCAACAAAGATGGTAGTAGCGTGAGTCTCCACCAAGCAAGAATAGAAGTTCTGTACTTGTAAATTGGGAGTTCTTGCTCACGTACCCATATCTGTGAAATAAAAGAAAAGAAGAATTTTTTTAAGAAGAAAAGAAAAGGCAAGAAAAGCAAACTGAAAGAATAACAATTGAAACAAAAGGGGAGAGAGATACCAGAACAAGAAGAGAAAGAAGAAGGCAAGAAAAGTACGTAGCTTCCTTGTTGAGGAGGCGGGGCTTCTCAGTTCCTGGTTTCCTGAACGCGTCATCGGTGAGTCAATGTTCTTAGTGTCCTTTAATGTTTGGTTTTGGTGCTAAGGACTAAGGAGGCATCTGTTCAAGACAAGCTACTTAGGGGATTGTATTTACTTGAATTGCAGGTTTCAATTTCCCTTGAAAAATAATATCAGGAGTAGTTGGATGCCATAATTTTCAATAAAAAAGAATTGTTTAAAAAGAATCAAAGAAGAAAAACAAGTTCACATAAAAAAAATGTAACTAAAACTTTCACGAGAGAGAAAGCAAGAATGAGGAAATATGTAGTGGGTAGAACATCTCATCAACTCTAAGTAATAACATGGATTCACTTTTCTTAGAGGTGATCATATTCATGAGGGAATATGCCTGAGACAATTGATGCTAAAAGCCATGAATCATGAAGATCAGAGACCAAACAGCCTGCAATCAATTTCCTCAACTTCACAATTTTGGTAAGATTTTGACATGCTAGTGAGGATCGTTGAATTTTGATGCATCAATAACTCAGATGGAAAAACCCATTTGGGAAAGTAGATTTTTCCAACCGAATTCATTTGTCTTCCCTGTCACAATAGCATAGTTACGATTCAAATTATCTTTGATAAGGAGAGAAAATTTACACATTTGAAGAAGACGAAAAAAGTTGCAAATTTAGTTTGAGAATTGACATGTAAATTTAATTAAAATAACACATCAATATTTTTAGTAGTATTAAAGTTAAAGACTAAAATAAACAAAATATAAAAAATCAATTTTCACAAATTATTATACAAAGATTAAATTTATATTTTTTATATAATATAAAAACTAATTACATGATTATTTTTTTTGTGAAAACTGAATCGTCCAGCGGATAATTATATAAAATGAACTATAGAAGAAAAAGAGAGGAACGGATTGTTGAGATCCCCTCAACTAATTTTTATACGGTTAAAACTAAATACAGTTATATATCATAATTATTTACATTGGACTCAAATTTCATAGATAAAACTTGTGACCACATAAACTGAAAATTGTTGATGAATTTAAATAATGAAAGGGGTCCGGAAATTTCGGAACCATTTTGATGGAATCAACTTGCGAAGTGAAAACGGTCGAACTCATTTTGGGTTTCTGTTGGATTGATTGGCCCTCAGACATTCTGCGGTTTTATAGAAGTTTCTCTTGTATTGGCAGCCAAGTGTCAAAGCAAGCAAGCAAGCCCTTTCTAAGACTTGCAGGTTTCCAGCTGATTCATTGTACCATCTAAATTCTGATAGAACATGATAGCAATTAACTTTGACTTAATTTGCATCTAAGCTTTTGCTTTTTCTGTTTTTGGCTGTTACCTATACCTGATCCTGGGACCTGGATGGACATTGTTCTGCAAACAACCAGCATGATTCGGGATGCACAACGCTGGCTTATTGTGAATTTTCCAACAATTCTGGAGTTTGCAAATTTGCCTGATGAACGAAACCAGGATTGCCGTCGTAGTTTTCTTCTGCTGACATGAGAAGATAGAAAACAAAAACAATGTAAGAGCAACCAGACTAAACTTTGTGGAGTAAGAAGCCTGTATGGTTATTTCTACTGAGGATTGTGGGGGAAGCAGTGATGAATTTGATGGGAGGATGGAGTTTCTGTGTTTCCCTTCTTCTTTTTTTTTCTAGGTGACCAATCTGATTCTGAACTTTGTGGAAAAAGACGAATGGTTGTTTATTTTTAGTAAACATTGTGGGGAAAGCAGGGACCCATATGGTTGGAGTTTATTCTAATAAAAAAAGTGAAGATGATTGGAGTAGGAAAAAGAATCTTTTAAATAGTAGTATATCTTTATCGGCAATGGTCAGTCAACTCATGCACATGGTTATCATTTGCTAAACGTCAAGTTAAACCAGAGCAGCCCCTTTATTGCATTGGTCTCTTTTGACTCACGGTTACTGAGTTTTCTTTGTTCTTTTGTTTGGACTACCGTCAATAATTAGCGAAAGAGAAGAAAAGAAATAAAAATTTCCATTAGCTTTCTTCTTTCGAAACTTTGTGATTTTTGAGATCCAAAAAGATTCATGGATTGCCTGAGTCCAATACTGGACATCGGTACCCGCTTGTGGGACTGCAGTTCCAAGCATGTGGCATATATCCACGATCTTGAAGAAAATCTTCAAAAGTTGCGAACAGAAATGGAAGTACTCAACTGCCGCAGACATGATGTATGGTGCAGGGTAGAAGCCACAGAGCAACAACCACGGATGAGGCGTTCGGAAGAAGTGGATGGATGGTTGGAAAGTGCGAAAACCATGGATAATGAAGTAAATGAAATTATTCAAGAAGGCGATCAGGAACTCCAAAATAAATGCGTCGGAAGTTGCTGTCCCAAGAACCTAAAGTCCAGCTATAAGATTGGAAAGCGAATCATTAAGAAGATAAATTCTGTGGAGGACCTACTCAAGAAGGGTGAACCTTACTGCTCAGACACGGCGGTTGCTGTGAAGCTGCCACGTAAGCGGCTTCTAATCCCAGAGTGGCCTGTGGAGAACACTGTTGGCCAGGACTCCAAACTGGAAAGGGTATGGAGATGCATCGAGGATGAAACTATTAGAATTATTAGATTTTGTGGAGTCGGAGGTGTTGGAAAAACGACCCTCTTGAAGAAAGTTAGCAATGAATTCCATAGGCGGAGCCATGACTTTGATGCTGTAATTTGGGCCATGATGCCGAGACAAGAGAATTATATAGAGAAAGTTCAGGAGGTGATTAGGAAGAAATTGGAAATCCCTGATTCCATATGGGATCAGTGTTCAGGCGAGGACGAGAAAGGGGCTCATATATTTAGTGTCTTGAAAAGTAAAAAGTTTGTGCTACTGTTGGACAATGTATGGGAGCAATTCAACCTCCTAACTCTGGGCATCCATCTGCGGAATGATCAAAATCAGTCCAAAGTAATATACACAGCCCGCTCACTAGGGTTGTCCTTCGACGTGGAAGCTCAAGTGACAATTGAAGTCGAGCGTTTGCCACCGGAACAAGCCCTGAGTTTATTTAGGACGACTGTAGGTGAAAGTATCCTCAGTACCCATCCAGAGCTCTCGGATTTGGCAAATACTTTTGTTAGAAGGTGTGGAGGGTTGCCACTTGCTCTTCTCACCGTCGCTGGAGCCATGGCTAGTCGGAAAAATCTTCGTGAATGGCGCCACACGGTTGAGCTGTTAGATACCCACCCATCGGAGATTGCAGGTATGGGGGGTTATGTGTTTCCTCTTCTCAAGTTTAGCTACGATAACTTGAACGAAGCCACAGCTCAAAACTGTTTTCTATATTGTTCCATATTTCCAGAGGCTTATAACATCCCAATAGATGAACTTATTGACCTCTGGATAGGAGAAGGTTTCTTAGATGGAGCAGATCCATGTGGGCAGGGAGAATTTATAGTCGGGACTTTAAGGCTTGCGTATTTGCTAGAAAGTGATGAATCTAAACAATGTGTTCGGATGCATGACGTAGTCCGTCACATGGCCTTGTGGTTAGCTCGAGATCAAGGAAAAAACAAGAACAAGGTTTTGGTAGCAAAAAGTGGAAGGATTACAGACCAGGAACTCACAAAATGGGAAGAGGCGACTTGGATTTCCTTGTTTGGTAGTAGTAGCAGAGAGAAAATAGACTACTCACCATCTTGCCATTACCTCTCAACTTTGCTCTTAAGAGATGCACAGCTGGAATCATTTCCTAGTGGATTCTTTGACTCTATGCCAGCTTTGAAGGTTTTGGATTTGTCAGGTAATCGAGGCTTAGTTGAGTTACCTTCCAATATTGGAAATGCGAAAACCTTGCAGTATCTCAATCTGTCATTAACAAGCATAGCAAAGTTGCCTACTGGCCTTCGAAATTTGAGAAACCTCAGATGTTTGCTATTAGATTATACTGTGAATCTTAAATGGATTCCAAAGGAGTTGATATCCAATTTTTTATGCTTGCAAGTTTATAGTAAAATAAATGGAGTCACAGAGGACTTTCGCTCAGTGGACGTTCCACCTTCTGCTGATGAAATTGCATTTTTAGAAGTGTTGGAGTGCTTGGGTGACATAAATAAAATAGGTATCACCTTATTTTGTGCACCTTCTTTTGAAAAAATTTTGGAATCCTGCACTTTACGGAGTTGTATCAGAAAATTAACATTCAAGGAATGTACCGGCTTGATTTCACTATATTTTACAGAAGAATTAAGTAATCTAGAAAGGCTTGAGATATTTCATTGTAGTTCACTCAAGGAGTTCAAGGTATCGGAAGGGTGTAAACTTGGTAGCCTCAGTAAGGTATACATAGGAGTTTGCCCGCTGTTGTTAAACCTCAATGTCCTTGCTTATGCTAGAAACCTTGAGATTCTTACCATTCTTGACTGTGAGTCGCTGAAGGAAGTTACAAGTGAGACAATGGCATTCCCTGGGCTGAAAACTATTTCTTTGACTCATCTGAAAAATCTGAAAAGCATCTGCCCATCGCCCAGTTGCTTTCCTTCTCTGTTAGAAATTGAAGTATCTAAGTGCCCATCGCTGAGGCAGCTTCCATTTGATGTGGAAAGTGCAGATTTCTTGCAGAAAATTAGAGGAGAAACAGAGTGGTGGGATGGCTTGGTTTGGGATGATGAAGCCGTTAAGGATGCTTGTCTCTTGAAGTTTATATCAACTCCATTCGAACTCTTACAAATAAAGAAAGATGATGCTGTCCCCAAGTAAGTATATCCTTTCATTATTGATAAATTTAATTCATATTATTCTTTCAACAATTGAGCCGTACCAACATAATTTCACAACTTGAGTGAGATGGTTTGGTTTCAGTATGTTTTGCATGAGAACTAGGTATAATCAAATAGATTAGAGAGGCAGTCAAGAAATTATTTATATACATCTTTTTAAAAGATACACATGCCTAATTCAATTCTTGGTGATGAAATTCATTACAGAACCAGTTCGTTCAAGGATGGAGTTCATATTGTCAATCAGACCAAAGCTGAAACTGTAAGATTTTTGTTCTTTTGGGCTTCAATATTTAGATTCTTTGACTTTTTTTTTTTTTTGTCTTGATTACTTCTGACTTGAAAGATGTTAGCGTTAGTGGATAAATTTGTCAAGTATCATTATTAAGCTTGATTTACTAAAATGCATGTTTCAAAGGTTTTAGTTGGTCTGTGTGTTTTGTGGTTTCAGCCTCCTCACCCTAAGCCATCCCCTAAGCCATCCAAAACGGATATAGACGATCAGTTGAATTTAGAAGACATAGAGGCTATTAAAGTTATCGGACGTGGTTCTGCTGGAGTTGTGCAATTGGTCCGACACAAATTGACTGGCCATTTTTTTGCATTAAAGGTATATACCCAAGTTCTAACACTGTTTATATTTATCAGTTTACTACTTTTCTTTTCGATAACTGTTTTTCGCTTCAATATATCTATCTAAGCAGCCTGGTTTAAGGATTAATTATTGTTCTGTTAACAACTTTTAACTGTATCACCTCTATGGTAATGAAATTATATGTCTTGAACATTATTGGTTTAAATGTGTATTTTTCCTTTTCAGCTCCATGTAAGTATTGAGTTTTGACATATTCTTCTTATATCAGACCATTGTAATGAATACTGACGAGGCAGTTCGCCGGCAGATTGTGAATGAATTGAAAGCAAATCAATCCTCTCACTGTCCATATATTGTTAATTGTTATCAGTCTTTCTATAATCATGGTGTCATTTCAATCATCTTGGAGTATATGGATAGTGGATCCCTAGCAGATTTCCTGAAAAAAGTTACATTCATTCCTGAACCTTATCTTGCCGCAATATGTAAGCAGGTTGTTAAATTCGATCTTTGAATTAATTATAATACTATGTACCAAATGCTTTGGCATGCAATTGAAATACTTCCCGTAAATGCAGGTGCTTAAGGGCTTGATGTATCTTCATCTTGAAGCAAACATTATCCACCGAGACATAAAGCCTTCCAATTTGTTAATAAATCATAAAGGGGAAGTCAAGATCACCGACTTCCACATGAGTGCAGGACTGGAAAGCCCCTCAGAAAGAGCAAACTCTTTTGTTGGCACATACAACTATATGTCTGTAAGTAATTAATCTATTCATGGCATACCAAAATGAATGTTATCTGCCGGGTAGGTGTATCTTGTTCTGATTTGTTCAAAGCTCATTAGTTTTCTAAATTCATTTTGTAGCCAGAGAGAATTATGGGAGGCAGTTATGGCATTGAAGTTGACATTTGGAGCTTGGGGCTAGTGTTGCTTGAGTGTGCAACTGGTAAATTCCCGTATTCCCCACCAGGGGAGAGAGAAGAATGGGATAATTTGTTTGAGCTTATGGAAGAAATTGTTGATCAACCACCACCTTGTGCGCCTTCAGATCAATTTTCTCCTGAGTTTTGCTCATTTATTTCTGCATGGTGAGTATTATATTTTGAATGAGCTACTTGATGAACTTGCCTTAAAAGGTTTTCTAGAAGATTTTTGCACCATATCAAGTTATTGACTCTTGTTCTAAAATCAAAAGTTTTCTTCAGATTGGCATTCTTTCGAATGGAGATCATTTATTACTTTTTTACATTACATCCTTTTGATACTTAGGAGGTAGCATCTGCTATTGGTATTCTCTTCACTTTAACTTTATAGAATTGCTTGATCTTACGATTTCACCAAGCCCAGCTGTCGATTCTTTTATCTATTACAGCCTCCGGAAAGACCCAAATGAAAGAAAGTCTGCGCATGAACTGTTGGTATGTAAATATCTGCATTCATTTGTGGCGCCATAATTTTCAAATAGAGAATATCTGCTAAATTGATGCTTCACACATGATTTTCAATCTGAATCCAGGTACTGCCTTTCTTAAACCTGTATGATGACTTGGATGTGGACCTCTCATCCTACTTCAATTATGCAGGATTACCGCTTGGAACCTTTTAGAACTTATCTGGTATGTCCATGCTTGGGATTCAGTGTCTCAACTTTCTCATATTGAGCCTTATGGTTTGCTCTGTACTACTTCGGAAGTGTGCCCGTGGAATCAAAATTCACATGCTTTTTGTGGTGTTGCTCACAGGTCTTACTGCATTTCTGTTGAAAAAACTAGTTTTCACAGTGATAAAACAAAATTTATCTTGTTTATTGCTTCATATCTAGAGCATAACGCAACAATTCGTTTTCTAATCTAGGTTTCTTTTTCTTTAGAATATCTGAAGTGCTTTTCTTGCTTTGGGAAATCAAGAGATGCTAGAAAAATAAGAAAAGAAACGACAAGGAAAAGAAAAAGACATATATATATATATATATGTATACATATAGAAAGTTGCTTTGGCTACAAACAACAAAGCTAATGATGAATTCTGAAAGCTTTGGTGGTTGTAAGCAATAGAGTTCTATCTTGTCATGATGCAGGATTGGATATTTGTTAGAATTTTGCCTTTAAAAGATTGAATTCTTTGATTGTCAATGCACGTGATTCACCTTATGATCTTGAATCAAAATGTTTGCTGTCCAGGCAATGAGTTCAGTGAACTACTGTGTTTGATTTCTTTATATATATATATATATATATATATATATATTCTAAAAGGTATTCCTGAAAAGGAAACAGTTTTTCCTTGAAAACTAATTGTTCATGTTCGTAGCATTTATCTATGTGCTTAGAAGATGATCGCACAATTCATGCTTGAGTTGTACTTAATATTCATTACAATGGTTACCGGTTGAAGTGAAACCAATACTGTCATGATTAATTTTCCCTTATTTTTGGCGCAGTTCAGACAGAACAAATAGCATGTCAGACTAAAGAAGTCGTTGGAGGAACCCAAAGCTTGTTAAAGCGTGGAAGACTTCTTGTTGTCATTTTGATTTGTAACTGAAGCGAGGCCAAAGCTTTTGAAGCATTCAAGGATTCTTAGAAAATGTCTTAGTGACAGGGGACTCAGTTTGCAAGGAACAGCTCGCCGCTGTGTGTTAATTGTTTCATAATTGAACAGTAATGCTGTCTTATATCCTCGAGAACAAAAAAAACAAAAGGTGTATAAACTGGCTGAAAATGAAATTGTACTGGATCGGAGAATGGAAAGTGTGAAATTATTAACTTGTCTAATTGTATTGAATTCTGTTAAGATAATTTACCATGGCTTGACCCCTGAGGTCTGGCAAGTAAAGGGGGATCTGATTAGCTAATTGGCATTGATATGTTTTGAGGCTAGCCGTAATCTGGTTGATTCTTGAATGAATAATTATTTGATAATCTTTCTAACAAACACTACTATGCAAGCGTTATTGTATTATCATTTCATACCCTATAAGACTACTGCAGTATCTGCCTTTTCCACATAGTCTCTGAAGAGTCATCGCATCGACTACAAAACATAATATCATTCCACGTTTTGATTGTGTTTGCTCATGAAGCCAGGCTTTGACAGAGCCAGAGCCTTATTCTTGCCCCACCGGAACACTTTTCAATGGAAATCACTGATTTTACAAAGTAATCGAATTTGCTAAGCAAGAAAGGATGCGCTAACTCTTCTAACTGGTTAGGTGTAACTAATTATTTGCCTTTGCTTAGAGATAAGAAGGTTAAGCTCAATTCCATAGCCGGGGACCGATAGGCAATCCATCGAAACAGACACCAACACGGTATTGTGCCAATCAACTTGGCCCCTGGAGAAGTTCTTGACAAGATTATGGGCAGTGACAATTACTACTTTGCTTTTCCTCTGTCTGAGCAATCTACTTTGGTTCCTCTCATTGCATGTTGAGGCGATAATGTCTCAATTCTTCATTGTTCACTTAAAAGTTACAAAACCAGAGCTATTAATGGTGGCTGGGAAAATTTAGAAGGTAATTGGTATATTGCATGATTTACTATACAAAGATATTGTAACATTACAATAAGCCCAGGTGAAAATGTTAAAATGGGGTAAATCATGCATTTTGTTGCGAGCGTTTTGACAAAAGAATTCTTTTTGACAGAAACACAACAATATGTCAAAAATTACAAGAGAGCTCACTGTTAGGTTTTCTTCTTAAATTTTCTTTGAGCTTTTAGGTCCACCACAATGACAGAGATATTGTCTTTGCTTCCTTTACTAAGAGCAAGCCTTGAGAGGTATTCTGCTGCAGCTTGAGCAGCAGGATCAACTTCCTCACCCCTTTCTGCAGACAATTTGTCACCGTGTTTTTTATGCCAAAGAAGGATTTGCTTTCGTGCAACTTCGCAGGCTTCCTCATTTGTGATAACATCCCATAAGCCATCACTGGCTAAGATAAGACACTCATCTTCTTTTGCTCGAGGAACAAACATCACTTCTGGATCTGGAATAATCCATGGTTTTAAGTATCTGTCACCTGAGGATCATAGTGGAAATGATAATCAAATTCAATACTCAATTAATCAAATGATTGTGAATTACAAATCACAGTGTTTAACCGCACCAAGGCTAATAAATATGCTAAGATGCAAATACTTGGAAAAGGATATGGCAAGGATTAGAAACACCTACCAATGGACCTTGACATAGCAAGAACACCAAAAACACGGGATCCTTTCCATTGTATAACCTTGCCTCCTGCAGCTTCTATTCTTGCATGTTCATCTTCTCTATCAGGCTGCAAAAGAGGTCATATGAGCATCAATTCTTTAAGAATAGGCTAGTTTCAACAAGTAGTCCAGCTGAAAGAAAACTGAAAATAGGAAAACTTGTCTTACTTTGTGGTCTACAGACAATGGCATGGGAAGTTTTCCATGGTAGAGAACTGCCCTTGAATCGCCACAATTGGCAACAATTATATGGGTTGAACTAATAATTGCAACAACAGCAGTAGAACCAGCAGTTTCAGGGGCAATAGGTTCATGATCAGTCTTATCCCCATCAGTGCCTCCGTGAACTCCACCAATCTCAGCATCGACTTTGATAAAACAATTGGAGAATGCTTTCTTCCATCGTTCCTGCCAATCATGCCCAATATTTCCATCAAGCTCACATGCTTTTGCAAGTTCTATCTCCTCGGCCAAAGCCAAATGCATTCGTTCACGGCAATAGTTTGCAACCTATGCAAAGAAATATTCTTTGGTAAAATAAACCAACTTGGAAGAAAACACACAGTACAAGTTGAGCCACAAAAATCCTATTTCCGACATATAGATCACTTGCAAAATAGAGAAACAGAAACCAAGAGAAACAGAGCAGAACGGCATGAAGCAAACCTGACAGCCTCCATGTCCGTCATACACACCATAGAAATGAGCAGTTAAGTCGCTTAGATTATAATTCATTCCATTTGATAATCTATCAACCTTCAGCACTTGAGTTGGAACTTGCAAAAATCGAGGTATAGCCACAACAGCATCTTCCATCTCCGGTCTCCTGCCACACATGCATGTATATCCCCAAAGGGGTATGTTACTTAATTCCAACAGACACTGGCTTTCGGTTTTTCTTATCTTCTTTTGCTGTGCCACCTCAAGAGATGACTCAGATAATTTTGGATCAGACTCATCAGACCTATTGCCATCATCCCCTACAAGATCCACTGCGACCCTCTTGACATCTTGAACATCACTAGTATTTCTTTCCCCCACCAGAGTAGTTGATGAATTTCTCCCAGAATTAACCTCTAAAGCTGACACCTCCTCAACACATGTGCTGCTGACATCACTAGCTACAGATTGAGAACATGAATTTGCACAATCGCCGCTGAATGATATAGATCCATCTTCTTCACTTTCCTGATGATTGTATTCTCTAGAAATACAACTATCCTCAGTTTCTATTTGATTTGACAAAATGGCTCCATTATCTCCTCTGTTACCTTGATGTGCAGATAATGATGTTATACTTTCTCTGCATGATCTAGCAGCATGCAAACCTTGGTTTCCTCCAGAAATGGACTGGCAAGGTTGCTTTGGCTTATTTTCAGGGAGTGACAACAAGCTTGCCTTGTCTGCAATAAGCTTACACCCAGTGACGTCTATGTGTGTCATCATTCTCATATCATTATACATCATGTCACCTAGCCTAACGGCACATGGACCAGCAATTTCTGTAGATATCTCCTCCATGATTCTCTTTTACCTGCAATAATCACCGCAAACCTCTAAAGTCAGAACCTTTCAAAATTATGCAAGCCACTACACTTCAAACTACTTTTTCTTTCTTCTCATTCAGTCTGGTACAATGGATAAATCGTATGGAATCCGAAAAGAATGAAATCACCTCCTGAGCATATTTGCGCAAATTTCAGGAAGGAAGAAACTAGGAAGTGTTGAAAATTGTCAACGAAGGAAAGCCAGGGCAAATGAAAATTTAGCTTGTGGCAATAAAAAAAGAGTAAAATTATAACCTACAATCGGATGCCTCTAGAGCCTATATACAACTTTCATATCTGGACTCTTCTCTGCCTAAAACGATCAAACAGAGATAGAAACGATAGTGAAAAACTTCACTTTCTCCCTTTTAACCGACCCTTTTGAAGTTTGATCCGTAGGAAACAAGAAATATATAAAGAAAATCATAAAAATTTTCCTACCTCTAACAAGTTCAAGGAAGTGAAAGCACATGGGGTCATGATAAAGTAACTCAAAACATAATACTAGCAGAAAAGACCAGAAAAACACTAACAAAATCTGGTTCCCTGCATCTGAGGCAACTCATTTCAACCTCATGCAGCTTGGCGCTTCTCTCTCTCTCTCTCTCTCTCTCTCTCTCTCTTCAGTTTCTTTCAACTTTCCACCACGCCATCGTTTATCCAACCAAAGCTAAAAAGGCAAAGCGGAGTCACCAACTAATCTTTCTCTGATGTTCCAGTTCCAGAAATCTCTTTATAGAACTTGTCTAAAGTATTTCAGGAACACTAACATAGAAACTATAGACAACTTTTCCTTAGAAGAACACGTTAAAACAAGGTGCAAGATTGATGGAGTTGCTTACTACTTTGAAACACTGCAACATCGAAATTAAGAAGCCAAAAAAAGAAAGAACTGAAAATGGTAGATACCAGAAATAGGAGAAAAACAAGATGAGCAGCACACGTATCCTTTCAGACAAAGGAACAACTGATAATGTTAGAGAAACGAGTTAACTAAACCGAAAGAATCTGCACGTAAGCTCATGACAAAAATTAAAAAAGAAAAAAGGGTTAAAACATCCCAGGACAGAAGAATCATTAGATTATCCTTGTAAGAAGGAAAAAGCATCAAGTAATTATCTTTTAGCTTTTAATAATTTGGAAAAATATCTCAAGGTGAATAAGTCCAATGGAAGATTTGCCACGTAAAGAGTTCTGGAAATCAGGTTGGTGACCAAAGAGAGTGACGTGCAGAGCTCCTGTTTAGTTTTGGAATTTGTAAAAACGTTAGAATATTTAGAGAGAGAGAGAGAGAGGCATGCTGAGGGGGGTTGATGACTGTAACTAATACGTTATAAGGTTGGTGGGTGGATTCATGAGCTGACACTCTTTAACTTCTTTTTCTTTAGCATGGCTTGGATTCTTTTTATTTAGTATAGTTTTCTTGCCACCCTCTTACTTTTAGCCACGTGTATTTTTTTCCTTCTTAATTCTTAATTTTGCTCGCAGTGTCTCCATATTTATCCCATTTAGATCATGGACATAATTCCGTGATTATATTTATAATAGAGTCCTGCTCTTTTTTATTAAGACATTGATTTAGTTTAAAAAATTTTCCTTTGACTTAACAATTTCGGAATGGATATCTAAAAGTATTCTATCTGGGCCACGACTTTAGGAGCCCAAATATTAAGATTCTTTTTTTTTTCTTAGATGAAATAGCTAAGCAAAAGGCATTAAAAAAGCAAGAAAATAAAAAAAACAAGGAAAGCCAAATGTTTATGAGATTGTATATTTCCCTAGGTGTGTCTCAAACCCCCCTGGAAAGAATTTATTCTCGATGCAGAATTTCCCAGCAAAACCTGACTAGAAATCTAAAAGCCCTGACCTTGCTACGGTCGACTTCGTGATGCTTTCTTCAAGATGATGCTGCATTGTTGCTTTTGCAGCCTTCTCAAGGGAAAACTATACATGCACCTACAATCAATTAACCACCAAGAGAGAGAGGGAGAGATTTTATGCTAACTGAAAGCTATACAAATGCAGAGGGGAGGCTAGTGTCTCAATTATTTACTACAATGAACAGAGAAAATAGACTAACTTCAACAATTTCCTTATATTGTTTTGCATCTCGATTCTCGAAATATAACAGCCGGAATAATTTGAAGAAACTGAAGAAAATTGATCAAGACATAGTCTTCCCTAAACTCAGAAGTGTTGCAAGAAACTTGAGAAAATTCATTAGGACAATAGGTCATCACTAAACTGAGAAGTGCAGCAAAGCTATCGGACACATCAATGTCCTCAACAAATAAATCCCAGAAGTGTAACCCACAATTATTTGGCCCCTATCGGACAAACCAAACAAAGCCTTGCAACTAAGACAAGAGTCTTCAGTTTCGAATGAATACTGAGATGCTCGGGAATGACAATTGAGGAGGCCAAGAAATGAATACAGCATCATGCAGAAAACCACCTAGCAGCTTGAGACAGCATAAGTAATTAAACGTACACCTACGAGACAGACCCAAAATTATGACATGAGGTGAAGCGTCAAAGGACATTTAAAATGTCATAATGCATTAAAAGTTACACTATGAGAAGGGATGAAGTAATTAGGATATTGGTCTAGGGCTATAACCTGAAGGCCTTGACTAGGATGATAACAACTAAGGCAAAGGTATACTAAAGCCTAAAGTCTACCGTTGAGAGAAGAAATTATAATGGAAATTAAGTGTCAATATGAACAGGACCCGATTCTCGACAGGCCCATCCAATACTTCAAACCATGAATATAAAGCAAGGTGAGAGACATGAGCACTAAATCAAATGTACATTACAGAATAAGATCATTACTGCCATGCTTTCAACACTGTCCTAGAAGTGATGCCTTAAAAGTATGAAGTTCAGTGCCTTTCAAAGCAAAAAAGACAAAAGAGGATATTTTCTCTTGGAAAAATAATTGCAAACAATGTAAATTCATGGATAAGTTAATAGCCAAGACTAGAACATGGTATTCTGGATTTACCTCAGTAGTAATGCAGGTTAATGGCAACTGTGGCAGATGGCATTCCAGCATTTAACCCAGGTTGATGGCTCTTGATCAGAAAATTTAAGAGAGCAGTTTTACCTGCAAGCATTTTAGACTTCTTACTCAGTGAGAGAGAAAGTGAAGGAGGGAGGGGGAGGAAAGCAAAGCAAAATTAATTAAAAATTAAGACTTAAAGCATAACTTAGTACCTGGAAGACAGTAAGAAATCAGTACACTAGAAAGACAGTAAAAAGAAGCTTGAATATGCTGCAACAACCTTTTGGTACGAGGTAAATAAGTGCAGTTGATAAAGATCTTACCATATTTCCAGACAGATTATCGAAGTGAGAATCTGCAACTTTAATAAAGCAGGAAGAATACAATGCAAATAGTCTCTAGTCACCAAAATCCTCGTTTCTCTGTTTGACAAAAACTCGGCCAATTGTTGTCTTGACATCTTCACTGAACATTCTTATCTCTTAGACTCAGAAGAGAACCTTCTTCATGAACAAACCTTAGGAGAAATTACTGCATCTGATATAACAACTTTCAACAGCAGTTGCAGTTGGCAAAGTGAAAATAAAGACCCATAAACCAGAAAAGCAGGAAAGAAAACCCATATATTTTTACAAAATATAATTACTCTGAACAAAAAAACTAATTTTATTGGGAATATAAATGTATTTACAAGATGAGCATTGCTCTCTGATTTGTAAAAGCTACAGCCAGGATACAGGGTTTGCTAAGATATAATTGCTAGACATACTAACTTGTAGGAACAAAAGATCTTTACAGTGGAAGTCACCGACTTAAGAGAAAAATTCAAGACGTTGAAAAGGTTCACTCGAAAATCAACTTGTGGGGGAGTCTACAAAGAATCTATATAACTTAATTGTGGGACCGGACAGCCAAACAACTATCCATGCAACGGTCATTTCTTGATGACAGTGATTATGTTTTTGTTTGTCAACAGTATAATGAACAAGACTATACAAAGAAAGCAACTCAAACCATCATATTCAAGTCGGAAAGATCATCCATTGGAATTTCTAGGCCCATGAAGTCATGATCTTGTAATCCATCATCATCAATATTCAACCATGAACCCAGATCTTGTCCTGGTAGCTGCAAGTCATCCAATACATCCAGGCTAAACTCATCTTTTTCTTTGGCAGTATTATTAGCGGTTACCTCACTTGATTTTGATACAGAAGTTGATGGTTTGGGTTGCTCTGACATCTTGCCAAGAAGGCCATTTACAGAAACAGATAGTTGAGTTGTTTTCTGCTTAGGCTTTGTTTTTGATTTCCTTTCCCCCTTAACATTGGAAACTGGCCGACCAATCTTATTAGTTCCATTTCTAGATAAAACCTCTCTACCATGTCCCTTTCCTTCTCTGTCTCTCTCACTCCTCTTTCCCTTTGTACTGCTTGACAAGGAACTTCCAATGCCTGACTGTGCACTAGAAGTACCAATAGTACTACCAACTACGTCCTCCAGTAATAACTCTCTCTTTTTCACCCTGTTAGACCATGAGTCATCTTTAACAGTAGTTTGATCAGATAACCGATTTGAGGGTGGAAGCAGATCAGAAGAATTAACAGCATAGCTATCTCCATTTTGACCTGCCAGAGAAGTAGTTGAGTGTGAAAAACCATGGAAGCTGCAAAAAAGACCAAATTGACAATCCACAACTGAATTGCACCATAAGACAAAGTAAATGAAGAAGAAACAGAAGACAGAGTTCCACAGACTGCGAAAAGGTACCATGACAAACAATTTGTATATGATTACACAGGATCAAACACACTCACACAGACACGACTACACATGTGGGAATTAAAGTATGTACTCTCTCCATACACATCAAGTAAAATACCTGAAGTTCTAGCTTCCAGAGAACGTGCGGAGCTGTTGCCACATGGCTTCCCAGATTCACCATCTGTAGGAGCATCTACTGATCGTGCACCATTTAGGCGGGAAGACCCAGAAAGAAACATGTCTCTGAGCATGGGCTCATCAAAGCAGCTATTGCCTGTATCTTCAAATTTATGATATCGATCTAATGTCCGTTTAACAAATGCTAAGGCAGCTTGCTTGATCATTTTGTTACTGGAACTCTTCCCACCAGTAGCATTAGGACCCCAACAAGTCTATTAAAAGATTATTAACAAATCATCAGAAAAAAAATACCAGAATCATATCATAATACGTTAGCATCTAGCATGATAATCTAATGGGTAAATAAACAGTCAAACTTTTAGATGATTAAAATTCTCCATGGAAAATGGAAAGCTGTGACACACACACACACACATGCACAGAGAACCAAGCAAATTTTATCACCTTAGTAGGAAACTCTGGAGGGGAAAGAAAACTAGAAGCAAACTCAAATTGTAGACAATATCCCATAATCTAACTACCATTCAGTTCTTAGCTGTTTAACTACCTTTGTCATTTACGCAGCTAAAGAGAAAGAAACAAAAGTAAGAGTTATTAGATAAACCTTTCCCAGCCAAATTCTTCATAACGCTATACAAAGAAATTCCACTATCTAAACCCCAGAGACTCAGAAGGTGATAATTGATACTTGAGAACGCCAAAAGAAAACATCCAAGCATATTACCAGGAAGGGGAAGGACAAAGTACCCTGCCTCAGTTTAGATGCCATTCAACCACATGACAGTTATGATTGAAAGTTGAAACAGATTCCACATATATGATCTAAAAGATTTCTCCAGACCTATGTTTAGATGTTGTCTCTTCACTTGGAACTGGAGAACTGGAGAAGCATTATCCACTTGGAACTTAGATAGCAACCAAAAGATTTCTCCAGACCTATGTTTAGATGTTGTCTCTTCACTATCTCAGTATCATGAGGAGTTTGAGCTACCCAATAGGAGGTAGTCCTCTCCCATAACGATTTTCACCAACTTCATTGATTTTTTTTTTTTTGGGGGTTGGGGAGGGGGGGTGCAGTTGGTTAAGGTTAAACGATAATGCCATCCTGCCCATTTACATCTATTTTTTCCATTTGGTTTCTTTTGTTGTTGGTTTTAGTCCATCCAGACAACTATTTCCTTTAAAACCTTTTCCTCTAGACCAGAGCTTAGCTTCCACATTATCATGCTAAAGGGCTGTACTAGATTAATTTGGCACAACCTGGCTCTGGGCACACAAGACATAAAACTTTGCATGTCCGTGTCTGTGTCTGCATGTGCAAATAAAAACCAAAAGAAAAAGGGGAATGTACATTAAGAGAATTACCATGTACTTTTCATAAGCCATCGTGATAAGTTTGTCAAGAGCACGTTGTTCAAATTCCCTATATCAAAAGTCAGATGTTTTGATATAAGCTAGGCACCAAAGACTTCAAGTGAAAAGGCAAATGCATACAAAACTATATGGAGAGAAAGGGCGAGACAATACTTCTCCTGAATCTCCCTTGTTTCTGAGGCAGCTTTCAACAGTTTATCAAGCAAGCCTTTCTTCTTTGAAACCTATTGCATTCACAACAAAATTACAAATGAACCTATCAGAACAAGTTTGATTTTTAGGATGGAAAATCCAACAACAAATAAGGTAGCAGGGCACAGAAGAAAGATAGAATTTGTTGAATATCTTATGACAGTTATCAGAAAATGGAAGGGTGAAAACAATAATGTAAAGGCCAAAGAAAACAAAAATATTTGCATATCAGAGCTTCAACAATTCTGTCGAGAAACTACCTGTTCATTGCGCATCTCCTCCAGCTTACTAATGTCCTCACGGATTTCATCATCCCCCATCTGTGCTATGTCAGGCTGCAATAGAGTGAAATACATATAGTTAAATACATTAACAACCTTAATGTCAAGGATGAAACAGAACAAACCAGAGAGACACAAGCGTCTACAGTAAACCACAGTAGAGTCAGAAAAAAAACCGCCCTTCAAGAAAATGGGAAGCTGCAGCAGACATACATGATCATTTGACAACCAACCATTCAGATGACAATACAAATGTAGACCAGATTGTTAGATCATGATTATTATCAATTTTGAAACAACAAAGAGAGAGAGCTTCAAATAAAATTATGTAACGAGAAGGATATTGCAGCATTTAACATAAATGTTGATGTAAAAGTAGACCAACCAGTGGTTCCAAGAAAATTCCAACACTTTGAGCCTCCAAAAAGAGTTTCTCATTTTTCTTCATATTCTCATACTGGAATTCTGAACAGACGATGCTAGGCATCAGCGGGTCTGAAAAAGTGCCATTCAGGGAATGGCTAAAACTTGAGTTAATTCCTGTGTTTCCCAACATATCAATTTCCGGATCATCATTCTCTGGCTTCCCAGTTATCCTATAACTATTGACAGAAGCATGCCCGGTAGATTGGAAGTTAATAATATGACTCAAACCATTGGATCCCAATTCTCCATCCATCTCAAATCCAGTTCCATATATGTCAAATGGGAGGTCTTCATTTCCACTGTCACTATCTTCTTCTGGAATTAGAGCTGCTATAAATCTCTGACAGAGGGGAATCACATTATTGTCCCTTGTCTCCAGGACCAACTGTTGTGAAAGGAGTTCAACAGTTGATGTTACCGCGTCAATTCCACCATCTCTTCCCTGTTCAAGCAACTCACATCCGTTGGAGACGATACTGCAACCATCTAAAATAGAAGGAACTGGTGTTGATCCCAATTTGGTAAGTTCACAATTTCCCTGAAAGATTTGAAAAGAGCTAAGAGAGAATAATACAGTTGTGAAAAAGATGGTTCTTGCTTCAATAGGAAACAAGAAGGTATAACCAATCCTTCACTAAGCTACTTTTACCTTTTGATTTAAAACAGTGCGTTAAAAAAGGGTTTAGGCACTGTATTGTCATCTTCTCTTTTTTGTTTTTTTGGGATTTTCCTAAAGGTGTTGCACTGTTATTAAAGACATGCAATTGATGACAAAACTGCTAATTTTATTCTTAAATAAATAAATTTGACATGGTAAACTTTAGGATACCATAGTATTTATACCAAAAGCTAATAAGAAGATGAATTCTTGAGAAGCAGTCACATGTAAGGGTGAGCAATCAGTTAAGTCAGTTAAATTGGTCAAAAAATGTTATTAACTGACTTAACCAACTTCCCCATATATTTTAACTGAACCAACTGACTTTCTTCTAGTAACCGATTATCCAACTTAATTTAGTTATTTCAGTTTTAACCGATTTTTTTTTTCAAAAGGAAATGGGCTTGAATGCAACCAAGCCTTTTTTATGATTATTTTAATTTTTCTATGCTAATTACATAGTAGATAATCCAACAAACAAACATTACACAGTAAATAATCTAACATTTTTTTTCACTCATTTTAAAGTTGATTAATTCAGTTAACCGACAAAAAAATTTTAACCAAAATTAACTGACTTAATTGACCCCCTCACCGAATTAACCATTTTAATGGAATTAATCGAACTAAGTTAACCTAATTTTATCGGTTAAGACGGTTTTAAGCTACTTTTACACACCCCTAGGTATTGATGGTTGTCAAACCATGTGACTAGGGGAGTGCAAAAGTCGGTTAAAAGCGACTTAACCGACAAAATTTGGTTAATTCAATTCTACTTCAGTTAAGGGGAGTCAGTTAAGTTGGTTCATTTCAGTTAAAAAATTTTTGGTCGGTTAACCAAACTAACCGGCTTTAAAATGAGTGGAAAAAAAGTTGAATTATTTACAATGTAATGTTTGTTTGCTGGATTATTTACCACATAATGTTTGTTTGTAGGATTATTTACTATGTAATATGCATAGAAAAAATGAAAATAAAAAAAAAATAGGCTTGGGTTAATTCAAACCCTTTTTTCTTTTAAAAATTTGGTTAAAACCAAATTAACTGAATTAAGTCAGTTAATCAGTTAATTCAGTTAATATAAGAAAGTCGGTCAATTCGGTTAAAATATATGGATAAGTCAATAAAGTCAGTTTTTTTTTTTTTGAAAAGCATCAATTAAGTCAGTTTAATAGCATTTTTTGACCAATTTAACAGACTTAACCAATTGCTCACCCTTATCTAAACCTAATATATATCAGCAAGTCAAAAGAAATTTATTTACTTAATTTAATTATTTATCTCATGCCTTCCCTCGAGATTTGATGAAAACATAAATAATGACAACACCCCATGCCTGTTCTAGTGGTTGTAACCCCTGAATGGAGGGTCAAGTTCTAGGTTCAATTCCCCCCTTTCCCCCCACCTGGTTGAAAAGAAATCCCCCACCCTTGGCCAAAAAGGCGAGAACAAAATTGCAGCCAACAGTTCATATGTAATGGCATTGAATAAAAGATTTAATCCAAAAAGATTTTTCCAAAAAATTTTTTTTTTCTAAAAAATGGAATGCATCAAGGGGTTTTCAGAGCCACACAAGATAGTAAAAATATAATTTCCAGGGTCTCCTAATAACAGTGACTATCAATCTTATTAAGTGGGACAAGGAACATTACCTGCTGCTTCAAATAGGCAATATCTGCATCAGATATGAAACCAAGAAATGGCTCCATCTGCCTCCAAAAGGAGTTGGGAAAGGCATGAGCTGCAACGATGGTAAAATCAACCAATGGCAAAAGACAAATTTTGAACCAAAGAAAATAACAAAATTTTGACAATAAAATGATGAAAGTTTTCAGAAGGCATTACCAAAACTGATAAGAGCATTTACAGCAGCCACCAACTCTTCATGTCCATCCTCTGAACTAACTAAGAAAGTTATACCAAAAGTGATTAGAAGGCACAAACATGTAGTCACGGATTTAGAAATTCAGAAAATCTTGTTAAGCATAGATAAAAATCCAAAGTAAGTTCTAAGTTAGCTTCAAGTATAACTACCAAGAAGATCTGCAGCCGCATTGATTGCTGCATGCTTCTGTCGTGCATAGGCCTTGCGGTCGGTGAGCTTCCTAGTTGGGGGACGACCAGCCTTGCTGAGCAAAACATTCATCAAACTATGAGATTTCAATCACAATAAAGGAAAGAATATTGGAGAAAAGGGTAACAGGTGGTCAGGCAGGAAGGAATATTTAACCTTTCGGCCTTATCCAAACCAAGCCTGGCACTTCTGAGCTGTTTTGCTGTTCCCACATTGCCAAACTTCTCAACTGTCATTGGCATAACAGACCTTGTAGAAGTAACACCCCGCCCAGTCCTCCCTTGTCGACGTACACCATCTCCAATGTCTTCTCCAGTCATCAGCTTAGTCTTTCTTGATGGCAGGACCAAAGCACATACTTTTTGAACATTCTGTCCAGCTTTCTCATCTAATTCATCAGACTTTTTCACCTTCTCTTTAGATTTAATTTCAGCAGCCGCAGACTCCTCACTCTCAGAAAGAGCAGCCGTAGATAAGGCATCACCTTTTAGTTTAACTTGTTGGGGAGAGCTGCTTGATAAGCGTCTAGCAAATCCTGACCCAATTTCATTACCTGCCATATCAGACACAGTATCCAGAGATGGAGTTTCATCATTACTTGAAACAATAGGAACAAGATTTGTTCGTCTTGCAGTACGGGAGCTCTTCTGTGGTCTCTGGCCAGCCCAGTGGGCAACAGGTGGTGATGAAGACCGAGCAGATGTGGTGCGTTTGCGATTATTGGCTCCACCAGCAGTAGGTGGTTTATTTGTACAGTGAGAAAGCTCCCAGTCATTTGATGCAGTTGCTCTATGAACAACTGGTGACAATTTTGGAGCACCTCCAGAACCTGATCGTGGGCCGCGAATAGATGCATTCATTTTTGTGCTTGATGTAGGACTAGCTGAATTAAATTCGTCACGAACACTCATCCTGCACATTGTACAGAACAACAGGCATAAAAATAAGTACACAAACTGCAGTAAGGCCTCAAAAAGAAAAGTACTCCAGGAGCCAGAAAAAAAGATACCTCAAATGACAAAACAAAGGCTTTATAAGACAGCAATGGACCAGAGAAATTTATGCAAAAAATAGAAAATGAAATATGTAGAAAACTATGCATACTTGTTAACAGTTCTGAGATTCACTCTCTCTTTATCAGAAGCAACAGGACGATCTCTTCTATCATTGAGAAGGGGACTGCTGTCCAGATCAGACCTAGGTACAGATGATCGTGGACCCAAGCCTGTCGGCTGTGAGATGCCATCTGATTTTCCAACTCCAGCAGATCCATTAGCAATCCCTGACCTACAATAAGTTATATATTTATTAATATAAAATTAAGAATAAAATACATCAAAAAATTATAAATAAATGTAAAGGAAGGTTCAATTAACTGAGTGCTCTAAATAAGAAATTTGAAGAAATGGCACACAAAGAAAGACCCCTAACACAAATTTTCCTACAGCCAGCATAATGATCGTCTATCAAGGAACCTACACCCCTCTATAGGTTGAGGTGATGGCCCCAATAAGAGTTCTTCCTTAGTGTGTCTCAATCATGGGATTTGATCTTACTCAGAAGGTTAGGTCAAAACATTACTAAAGTTTTCTACCTCTCAAGCATAACGTGCAAGATGGATAAAATAATAGGGTAGGTTTATTATATAGTTCAAAAAACACAATTCAATTAAAACTAGTACATTCACCATCTTATACTTCTCCGGCAAAAACTCTAGTGTAAATGCACCTTTAAGGCACTAGTTAATGTCCTATGCACTAAAGGCATAAGCAACTTTGCATAAAGTAGAGCTCCCATCGTACATTCAGGTGATTAGATCTTGACCAGAATGGTGCCGAATGAGACAATACGGCACAGGTTGATAGAGGTGGATTAAGCATAAAAATGAATATGAAAACATGAACAAAGGTTTACCATCTGTGTGTGTGTGTGTGTTTATATATATATATGGTCAAAATAGAATAAGAAACTCAAACGCTAAATATACAACTGGAATCAGAATAAAAAAGAACCTCAAAAGCATAAAATACAAGCTTGACATCTTCAATTTATATCCTACACAACATAGGCAATTAAAAACAAAGACAAAGAAAGAATGCAGTTCCGGCATGATGAATCAGGTTACAAGAGAATATTGACCAAAGCTGCTACTGCTATCATTATTATGATTGATGCCCCTGATTCCAGCAGATCTCCTGGCAGTGGGCTGAAAATATCGATCATTATATGTTGGTAATTACATTAATGATTCTTGTATTGTTATGGTAAGGGCTTCCACTGATACTAGGGGTTAGTAACACTCAAGGGTGCTTGTCCTCCTAGCACCCACCCAGTTACAGGTGGCAAACAGGTAAGTCTGGTTCAGGTTGTTCCAGGTTCAAGTTTTGATTTTTCGGGGTTTGGGTCTTTGACTTTTTTGTCAATTCAGGTTTGGGCAGGTTCAAGTTCCAGTTGGTTTTGCCACCTCTACCCCCAATGGATGCCCTCAATGTTACTTAGGCAAGCATTCAAATAATCACCATGACATATGCACAGTAGTAGCACTTTCAGCAGACCTACCTGAACCCATGGGAGTCATTATTTAATCTTGATCGAGCATCAGTAACAGGCCTTTGCTGCATTCCCTGTTTAGATTCCCGATACCCTTCAATCGGTTTAGTTGATACCATACTTGGAGATACATCAGGTTTTATCCCAGAACGCTTTTTCTTCATCTTTGCCTTTTCCCATCCATCAACACCACCTGATAAAGTTCGATCTTCACCCTGAACTGCACCACTATTTGAAACCCTGAGCATTTCCCTGTCCCTATCTGCATTACCAGGCTGCCTGACTAGAGCATTATTCCGCATATCCATCTAGATTCATTGGAAAAATTGTTAAGTCTTCTCTTCGAGAGATAGTGATGCAAAAAAGGCACACCGCATGCAAATTGGGTACCAAGCCACCCAGGTGAGGCCAAAGATAAAGCAACTATGAAGAAGAGCAAGAAAATACAATGTAAAACCACATCCATATTAGTGCATGCATAAAACAGAATATTATGTGGATTCTTGTCACAGGATATGGGTTTCGTGTCACTTGCATAAATACAAACTCAATGATTGACAGTACATAAGGAAATCTACTAAAAAGGAAGAGTAAAGAGAACAAATCCACCATCACCACCTAGTTGGATCAAAAGAAAGAAGTGAGGTTTTGATTAAGTGACCAATGGAAAAGAAGAAATCAACTAGTAGTGTAGAAACATGAAGGAAACACCAGAGAGAAGAAATCAAAGAAGGGATATTGACAACAATAATTACATTGGGACATGACATTCTTTGCTCCCAACCAGACTTGAATATAACACATAAAACATCCGTTGCACAAGTTAATTAAATAAGCTATATCAGGCCCAACGACATAAAATTCTAATATTACCATTACAGAAAATGCATAAAGATGGAAGATATCGAAGATACAAACCCTCACATCCACCAGAGAAGTTCGAGTACGTTTATTTGGAACAGCACTCTTAGGCCTTTCTTCTGCCTTTTGCTGTTCAAATTCAAAAGCTCCAGCGATGGAATGATTATGCATTCCCATCTTCCCAATGGTTGGCCCCAAGACTGACCGATCACTAGATAACAAGGCATTAGGTCGGTCACCAGAAAAGCTTTCTGATCGAGATCTCTTCTTAGATGGTATGCTTGGGAAAAACTTGTTGAATACTGATAAGGCTTCATTGAAAGTTTTCATACGCTCCCTGTTAACTAATACACTTTAATAACTAATGACAACTTCTATTCAAAATACACCATTTACAAAGAAATACCTGGCTTTGACAGCGCAATCACGTAGACCAGCCTTAACTCGTTTGATTTCCTCTGGTATGGGAGAAGGCAGCAGCTTGCCTTTTGATAAAACAGTAGGAGATTCATCAGCAGAAATGCCAAGAGCAACATTAATGTGCCGTTTAAAGTCTCCTTGACGATTAGACTTATGATCAGCAGCGACCACCTTGGGATCAAAACGCAAGCATTGGAAGAAGTTGGATACATCTCCTTGGGCTAATAAACTCCTCGACATACCTGGCAGAGAAGATAGAATTGGATTCTCCATGGTCTCACGAAAGCTACCTGATCTGTCTAATTGAGCAGCTAAGTGGGCTCCACGCTGCCCGCTGGTGTACAGCGGCCTATCTGGGCTCCCAGAAGACAGATCAAACTTGCTAGATGTCGCCATTGCATCAGATTTTGCAAATCCACAGTCTTACAAAGCCAATAAATACAGCCGTGCATGACAAAATTGTATTACAACAGCACATAAAGGCTGATTTAAACTGTTAAGGACAATGGACAACTTATCTGCAAAGGAGAAAAACCTAAGGATAAGCATATAAAATTTGTATTAGACTCCAAATAAGCCCAATACTACCTCAAAATTCATGTTGTTGTATGCTTACGCTCACATTAAAAAATACACTAGAAGTAGTAGGTTAAATTAAGTCTTAATATAATCACTAGTAGTTATAAAGAATTATCAAGGGCCAGGAAACTAAGATTTATTCATCACCTTCCACTGCCTGTGCAACAAAATTTTCCTGTCTTAGTATAAGACAACAGCGTCTTCCAAATGTTAAGATGGGCATTATAGGAGCTTGCATTTAGGTATTGGATTAATAGTTGAAAGGTAATCAATTTGCATAATTAGCTAGATAAATTCATGAGTAGAGAATTTATGGTATGCATGATAACATAATAGGTGGGAATATAGGGATTTTCATCAAAATAAAAAAATTTGTTTAATCAATAAAATAACGTGGAAAAGGCACCCCAAATAAATACAAGAAATGAAAGCAGTGAATTCAGGTAACAGCAACAACAAAAGGAAACCTTCAGAAAACAAAGGCTACAACAAATAGAGTACAAATGGGTGTCATAAAAAGACACACTCAACCATACATGAGACTCAACAACAAACAAGTTATCCACAAATATATTTTCCTATCTACATGCACATCCTACATAACATTTTAGGCAATTATTTTATCTCACTCCACCTCTACCACTGACTGAATTTGTTTTATCTTCTTCCTGTCCCCACAACGGTCTCAGGTTGAATCAAAAGACTGTTTGAAAAACATCAAAATGTCAAGTTTTAGGTTGTTGAACCTCTAACTTCCGACAAATACATTCAATTCTTCTTCCAGATATCGTTTCAATCTTCTGATACTGGCATTTAAAAGATATGTATACCCTTGCACACAGATATTTTATTAGGGCACCCATTTGCTCCTTAGGTACAGAATTACTGTATTCAGCAAGTTGGCATTTGAAATTCATTTATCTCTTCCTTTCATATATGACGATCAAATGCTTATGTTCTATTCATCTACTAGTTACTTATAAATGCAGCGTAAATGACTTTCAAGGCTCACTTCAAATACTATGGTGATCCTAAAATTTCCTCACCTTAAAACAGCTAGCAAAGTGCCAGAGGTATACAATCAACTAGAAATTCGAAGTAATCCTCGATGCTCTGATTAACGCAATAACCCCAATGCTCAGATAAACACAATAACCTCAACAACTCTGTAATCAGAAGCTACGAAGAGCGCACTAACATAGATATTTAGGGTTATTGCGCAAACCTAATACTTGGTAAATAAGTAAAGACAAATTAACATAACCTAAAATACCCTGAATATAAATAGGGTTTTGCTAACAAGTGCCCTAAGGGCACTCTTTAAGGTTACCATATTAAATAATATTTTCTCCCAATGCATTGGAATTCCCACATTACAAATAGTATCTTAACTAACCTTAAAAAGTGCCCTTAGGGCAATCATCAGCAAAACCCATATCAAATTATTTAAATAAATTTTGAATTGTATAACTCCATCTGGATCACCCTTCCAAGCATCAAATGACCTATTCCAAAAATTGTTATTAAGGTTATCTGTCAATCTCTGCAGTGCACATGTACACCAGCAAGACAAGCACATCATTATCAGAATCATGAATCATAAATAAATATAAAAAACACAAATCAAATCTGGATATATGTGTAGCAAAACCTTTTTATAACCATACAATTAACACATTAGAACTTATGAAAGACATATGGAATAGATAATAAATGAAGGTAGACATGAGAGGCTGGCATCTCGATTCATAAGAAAATGCCATTAAGAGAACCTGCCAGAATCATCAACTATCTTACCATGATTCATGAGGGTGCATCATACGCTCATTAGGAAGAAAATGTTAAATAATTTAGCTTAATATATCTGCTAGAATCATAGTTCAATAAAAGTTAGCCGCACGCATCAATTTCAGCACATTAATTACACTTGAACGCAAGAACACCGCTATTATTTAACTAATTGCCCACAGCTGAGCAATACATTCTATACTTTATATTACATCAACAAATTAAGTATCTACCTCACCCAATTTAAGACAGAAGAAGACCACCATCATTTAACTAATTTGGAACTGATTGTGATTTCAGTTGGCACAGATTTCGCGCATATAGCAGTTAGAAAGAGCACCATTCCCATTTTAATTATTTCCTACTCAACATTGCTGTTCTGTTTCTCCATTTTTCAACCATGACAAGAATACATACATATAATTGCCTTCAACTTCACTTTCCTTACTCCAAATAATTCCAAGCTAAATCCGCATCACATGAATGCAAAACAAAGCATTATGCGCATTTTTCTTCAGTTAAGTTACTCAATATTTCTTCACTTTTTGATTATACAACAAAATCCAGCTTCAACAAAGGAAATGCTCTATTTTACACAGTAAAGCCAGTCTAAGCTCAAAAATTACCATTTTATCCTCTAATTCCTCGACTTTACATCTCAATCACACTTCATTCATCATACCTCAATAATTGAAAAAAATAATAGTAATACTAACAAAAAAATTGCAGGAAAACCCTAAAATCTAAATCAACACGAATATTAGAAAATAAAACTCAAATAAACAGTCAATTAAAGAAATAAAAAGGTTCAAAAAATTAAAAAGAAGAAAACCCTAGAGCTTGCAATCAAGAATGTGAGTACAAATCTACCTTCGATGAATCGCGAGAAGAGGTGACGGCGGAGGCTGTAATTTTCAGCAAGATAATTAGATTCTTTAAATTACGGGTACGAATTTGATTTACGTAATTGATTCGAAGCTCGAAATCGAAAGTGGGAAGTTCGTACATGGCCATGGAGGTCGAAAGCGCCCCTGTGTTTTGATCGGCAATGAAATTGGGTTAAATTAAATGACGGTTATACCCATGGTTCGTTGTCTTGGATTCAAAGTTGTCGAGTTTCGGAACGGGGTTTTTTTGGGTAAGAAACATACGTCGAGCCGGCTCCTAAGACAGCTCGTGGTTTATGTAATGTGGGAGTTTTGGGTATGTTTGTCTTAGTGAAAATTTAACGAAAAAATATGATAAATTTAGTCTATAGATTATCGAATCACAACAAAAAAATTATTTCCTTTTTTGAGTAAAAAAATTATTTTTTGTTGGTGATATGTAACGGTAGAAAAAAAAATTTATTTTAGAAAATTAAATGTATATCAAAATTCAAATACTATGTTATCGATGTGAATGATATATATATAAAGTTATTTTTATTTATAATATAATTTTAATTATATATTACAATCTAATTAACCAATAGTATTATATTATAATTCTAACCAATAAATTAGATGATTTGTATAATTATTTTAATATGTAAATTATTAGTTTGAGATGAAAGAAATAAAATCAAAATATTTAAAGGTGAGTGTGTAAGTTAATATGTCTTAATTAAAGATAAGATTAAACAAAGCCTATTAATAAATAAGTATTTTTATTTTAATCAATAAAGGTTGATGTGAATTAATAATCACTTAACCATATCAAAAATCATTTATTTGGTTAGTAGCATCCATCACAAAAAATTTATGATTGATCCAAGAAAAGTAATAGGATAAATTAATAGTTTTTGTTTTGTCAAGGCAAGTAACAATTTTTGTAATGAAGCATTGATAATATATTACCAAAAAAAGAAATGAAGCACAAATGATAATATCAACTTCAAAATACTTAATATTTACATAAAATATCTACTTGATAATCTTAATAAGTATGGCCACTAATCTTAATATAATAATTACTTAATTACCTTCTATTGACCATTATATTTACTATCATGTGGTATTGATTTTTTATAAGAGGATTTGGAATTTCATTTTCTTATATTACTTTTTTTAGTACTTATTCTTTTATATACATATAATCATTATTTACATATGAATTTTTTTTATAAGATTAAAAATTAAGAGGATTGGAATCTATATAGTAGGAAGAAGCAAAATTAAATTTGTAAAGGAAAAGTTAACACCAAAGAAAAAAGAAAGAAGAGTTTACATTGAATGCAACTGTAGATGAATAAAAGTGCAATATATGGAAATAAAATGTTATCCTCAATTAAGGAATAATCACTCATAATGCAGAATGCAATCATAATCTATCAAATTAGGCATCCAACTGTAATTAAATAGAGAAATCAATATGTGGGGTAGATCATTATGCCATTTGACGAGCTCAGGTTGGGCACACTGGAACTGGAAGCCTGAAGCTTGAGATTTCATATTATTGTTCTCTTCATTTTTCTGATTATAGGACGCTGTGAGTATGGGATGCAATATCAGGTTGTGGACTTGTGTTCCATGTGGTCATGTTGGACCTGGGATGGGATCCAAGGTTTCAATTCAATGACCCAATCCTTTTGTTCCTCTGGTGTTTTTTTTTTTCCGGCTTTTTTGAAAAAACCCACCCTATAAATGTCAATTGTCACCCAAAGCAATCATCAGCACTCAAAAGTGGACAGTCTCCAGGAAACAAAAGGCACAATAATATGGTATTATATAATTTTGCTACTGGAATTGTTACAATATTTGGTTTGGTTGATAAAACAAAAGCTGGGTTTGTCCATGATACGTATTTGAAAGAATATAGTTTTCCATTTTATCATATCGGTGTTTAACATTATTCAAAACATTCAAAGCGTCTTATTCTTCTAAAGTCAATCGGATAAATAATGGTTCAAGTGATAGGGCACATGGATGCAGACAAGGTCCCAAAGACAAATGATTTGCTGTTCACTGCCAAAGAACAAGGCTTCCATACAATACCAGTCACTGGCCTGAGTCCTTACCATTAATTTACCCATTTTAACAGTTTCCTCGACAATCAAGAAAGGAGGGAAAGAGGACCAGAAACTGCCACAAGCGAAGGCGTTTCATTTGGTTCGCCAACCTGGGTAGTCAGGACCTCAATACAATCTCAAAGACTAAATGGACATAAAACTCTCACTTATGCCTATCAACCAGTACTATCAAAGAACTCTCCTCAATCTAATTGATATTTACTGCACACTTATTAGTTCGGCAAATATGTGCCAGCAAACTTCAATAGATAAGCAAATCAGGGTAGAACCTGGCTAAAATAAGCAGGTAGACCCGTCAATCAAAATAAGAAGAGTTCGTTTATCCATTGTGCACGGTGCTATCCATGGAAAGGATTGAGTCACTCAATGTGACACGCCATCTCCTGATGATCAAAGCAACCCTGTTTCTGTGTCATTAGAAGAGTAGTCCACACCAGAATCACCTAAAAAAGAAAATCATTCATGAGAAAAGTTTAACTCAATCTGGCAAATGAAAACCAGACCTGACAGCCTTAATCTAGGAATGAAATCTTACTGTGGAATGAGTCAGTTGACGACTGCCTTGGCGGTGCACTCCCCTTTATATCTGTAGCAGTTGAATGATAAGAAACAAAAGAAATCGAATACAGCATATAACAACACAAGCACACGCACATGCGGATGCAGATGTTACTATATTTGATTTTAATGGCCGCACATTCCCCCTTTCCCTTCTTTCTTTCTCTAGGCAAGCTAAAAGGACCTATCCTCTAACAGTCAACGGCATACAGTATGAATAAACTTGGGTCTCCCTTTCTACATTTCCTTCATTCTCCATCTCTTGATTACCCCTTACAAGTCTTCAGAAATGTGCATTACATTACCTATGGTTCCCTTGCTTGTACTTGGATAATGCATTAGTACTTTTAAACATTGTATGAATCCTATTGACCCATATGATGGTAACAGACAACCCTTGTATTTCCAAGTACCATGTAGATCAGAATACTGAAATATTTAGAAGGTGTATTTTACTTGAAGAAAGACGAAATCTTCTAGAAAGACCAATTTTAGGATGACTTGGTTGACAACAGGAAGGCAACCATAATTTGACACCACATCAGAATCTATGCGTAGGCCTGGCTTGCAGAAAGACTAAATTTCTTCAAAGATAAATACAGATGTGACCTTATTGACAGAGCGTATGCAAATAATAAGTGGAATATGACAGTGTCCTCCCATGTGAACATTTGCAATCAATAACTTAGGTTACTTGAGGATCATGAAATCATGAAATCAAAGTTTTAATGATATGATTTTCAATCATGATACCAAAGATTTGACAAAAAAGAAACAGTTTCAGTATAAATAAAAAATAAACACAAATAACTAAGAATGTTTTACCAAAAGAATGACGTAACCCTTTGACAGCCTCAAAATTCTTGTACGTATAGCCCACAAAATTAAGATCTTTAGGAGTTAAATGCATCTGCCAGAAAAGTAAGGAACAATAATGGTGAGTTATGCAAGACAATATTAAGATTGGATGACTTAAGGACATAAAAATGCACTATAAGTCCACAACAGTAAAGATGAGTTACAGGCAGGCCAAGAAACTTCCATCATGATCTTCAACAAAATACAAAATAGTTGCAGCAAAACAATGGTTAAGTTATTCAAAGTTCAAACTACAGTTAGTTGCATTAATAGTCATCCTTACAGTCCTTGGAGAAAACCTAAATACCTTCCTCATTGGCCCAGATCCTGTTCTTGCTGGTTTTGGACCTTCCACCTGTGGTACAGTCAGAAATTTACGTAATCAGTAGGCTCCATATAAACAAAGGCAGAAAACATCTTTTACAGAGCATAAAAAAGTAATACTTGTTAAAGATTGAGAAAGTAATTCCTTAAATGTAGTTCTTTGGGCAACATATCATTTTGTCATCCCTTCTTAAATCATGTTGTTTTATTAAAAAATCAAACTGGTAAAGTCAATATCCTCAATATTCCTAGAGAGTGTAACTCAATGGCAGATTAGCTAGCTAAGGCTAGAGTAAATCGCACTGAGAATTTTGTAGCCTGGATTTGAGTCTAGAATGGCGTTTTCCTTGGAGGTTGATTTTTGTTCCATTAACTGTGAGGCAACAAAGCTGATATTCAAGGATGAAGTTGGCTGTTTTTTTGAGGGATTGCAAGTGCAATTACTGTGTGCTTTGATGAGTCATCATTTAGAATGTTTGACAAAATGCCGCTCTTCAATTTCTAATTTTCTTTCAAAGTTGAGTGTAATTTGGTTCAAGTTATGGTTGTCTTCTTGCTATGTGATTGTTTTAGTCTTTGAGACCTAAATAAGTTAATTTTGGTAAAGTATGGGGTACCGGACATGGAGTAGTCTTTTTGGGTTGGTTCTTATTGGCTGTGTTGGGAACTCTTTTTGTTGAAGTTTGTATTTCAACTCTTTATTAATAAAATTACTTTTGCTTTTCAAGTAAAAGATTGGAAAATATGGATATGTCTAATAATAACTTACCTCATCAAATTTCATAAAATTTTGAGTATCAAGATCCCCCTCAACCTGTGGTTTAAATGCTGCCTCTGTTTCATAGAGTTTGTCCCATGGAGTATCTTTGAACCAGGGATGAGCCTAATTATACTATTGTTAATAGGAGTAAAATAGAACATAATAAAAAGGAAAATGGAGAATGAATATTTTGATATTCATAAAACTTACTTTAATTTGGTCTGCTCCTAAAGTACCGAGCCTATGCTCAACATCACAAAGCAACCTACAGATCAAATCCTTTGCTGCAGGTGTAAGCCTGGCCTCATCTGGAAATTTCAAATGATTTTTCCAGTGTACAATCTGACATGCATTTGTCAGCACAGCAAGGATAAATAAACAAAAAGAAAAACAAGTATTTGAACCTTTTCTAAGAGGTTAGCGAGCTAAACAATTAATATGAAATACTTAAAATCACCTGCTGACACTTAAACATCACATCATTGCTATACTAACAAAATGAATTGAATTAGTCAAATACGATATATGCCTTAAGAATACCGTCAAGACTACCAAAATGAGAGAAAGAAGCATGAAAATGAAGCAGAAAAGATAAAACGGTGTTACGAAGAGGACAATGTATGTTAAAAGCTAGTTAGAAATCCCATAATTCAGCTCAAAATAGCTGAAAAATTAAATAAAACCAAAACTTTAGAACAGATAAAACCTTTCTGCATGTTGTCACTGGATCATCAGAGTAAAATGGAGGATAACCAACAAGCATTTCATACATGATAGCACCAAGTGACCACCTGCAAGAGGTAAATCAATAAGAATGTATTGAAGAAAAAATGAAATTACCTTATCCATTACGATTACATACAAAGCATATCACAAATATACATAAAAGATTATCTCTATAAAGTTTATCCTGTTATTGCAGTGGGAAAAAGTCTTCAGACAACCCTTTTGCATATCCTACTGCAGCTTACTTTAGATCACTCTCCAACCATTTTTGGCCACAAAAATTTAAAAGATCTTGAAAACAAACCAAAAGGTTATATTCATCTTAATTTAAATTGAATTTTCTTTTGTAGTGAACATTACTTTGTTTCTTTGGTTTTTTTCAGACTTCAGTGACATTCAGGCAAGGATAGAACCAACATGTCCTCAACCAAATTTTCATGCAGCATAATACTTTTGCATTGAAAATTTTAACTCCACGTTCAATTAAGAACATAAGAAAAAGGCAGATTCAGAACGACAGAATCAAGATGTAAGCATTACAAATCTAATGAGAAAGTATCATTCATTCTAAGTCATACCAGTCACACTCTGTGCCATATCCTTTCTTCAGCAATACTTCAGGTGCAATGTAATCTGGTGTTCCAACTGTTGAAAATGCCTGCCATTGAAACTGTTAGAGAAAAAAACCTAAGAATAATTGAATATATAACTTGATTCCATCCAAAAAATTTACTAACAAGGATGCAGCCCTCTAACAAGGCATACAAACAAGAAAAAAAAGGGGAAAGGAATAGTAAATCAGCTGAATCCTAAAGTTTAACTTATCGAATATCTTGAACAATATGAAACAAATGCGGCTAGAATTTAGGTTTTAACAACTTTGTAAATTCGTCTACTGATACACTCAATCATCCATAGGAATTTAAACCTAATTACCCAGCATGCTTTTGCTCCTTCCATAATTCATTGGAACATGCAACTGAATTATTGATGAAATCTTGAAATGATATTTCTCTGGTACAAACACACTTACCGTGGCTCCATGCGTAGCCACAAAGTTCATTTGAATTCATTATGATATTACCATCTCTGAGTGTAGATTAAGGAATTCTCTGAAATAAAATCAGTGAACATGATTCTTGTATATATGCATGCACGCATTAGAATGACAGATTTGTAACTTGAGAAAAAGAATATATAGTTGTACCAGTTTCCTCCTGTTATGCTGCCAGTGCTGCAATTGTTCAAGGGGATTTTTCCAGCGTCTTCCTCTACCAGATTCAGGGAAGTGCCCATCAACGTCCATTGATTCATTCAAATTCTCATCATCCAGGGTTTCATTTTCGTTTATAGCAGATAAATTTCTACAGTCTAGAGGTTTGCAAAGACCAAAGTCAGAGAGCTTCATATGACCATTTTTGTCCAACAGAAGATTGTCGGGTTTAATGTCTCTGGAGGAAGGAAAATAAAAAAGCACATGCTTGTCAGATGTCGATAATATTCACAGAAGCTACATCAGGTTAACAAATTACAGTCTAACTATTATTCCATTTCCTGGTATTTCTGTTGGTAATCAACAAAGGCTACCAACCTGTGAATGTAATTATGCCTATGAATAGATTCAATGGCCAGAACACTTTGAGCAATGTAAAATCTAGCCACAGTCTCAGTTAGGGTGTCTTCTCTCATTAGCAAAGTCATCATGTCACCACCAGGCAGATACTCCATGATTAGATACAAATACTCAGCATCTTGAAAAGAATAATAAAGTTTCACAATGAAGTGACTGGCAACTTCTGCGAGCAAATTTCTCTCAGCTCTCACATGTTCAACCTATGTTATATTCACAAAATCTGTGAGTGCAAAGAAATTAAACAGGTAGCATAGAAAAATGTGAGAGAGTTTTCAACATCAAGAAAAATCTAATGGAAAGAAAACTGGAAATGGAGTTTCTCCCAGGTGAAACAAATCATGCTTTGAATGCATAAATTGAAATTAAATGACAAAAGATTTCAGATCTCACCTGTCCCCTGCTAAGCATTTCTGACTTCTTCAACTTTTTCATGGCAAAAATATCACCTGATTTTTTCTCTCGACACAATCTTACCTGCAAACTAATAATAACACATGAGCAGACCAGTACCCTCCAACTTCATAGAAGAACATTCGATTTAAAAAAAAAATCATAATAATAAATTGCAAGTGATATGAGTAGCACTCAAGCAGGTAAAAGAAAAAGAAATGCACAGCCCATAATCCACATGTAATAATTATTTGCATAGGCAAAAATGTTTATCTGCTGTCAA